ATTCAAATTCAATGTCTGTTATGCTTGGAAGTCATTCTTTTTTGTTGTTGTTGTTAATCCTCACCTGAGGATATTTTTTCCATTGATACTTTTTTTAGAGAGAGTGGAAGGGAGAGAGAAATCTCAGTGTGAGAGAGACACATTGATTGGTTGCATCCCGCACTCACCCCACCAGGCAGGGAGCGAGCCTGCAACCTAGGTACCTGCCCTTGACTGGAAATGGAAACTCAGACCCTTCAGTCCGAACTAGCACTCTAACCACTGAGCTAAACTGGCTAGGAGGAAAGTCATTCTTTTCATCAGTCTATCATTTTTCTCTACAAAATGTGTATGTACACTGAAATTTAATTTTTTTCTCAGTGAGCTTAAGGTTCTAAGTGTTAAAATTTCTTCAGAATTGCATTAGCATCATAATTATGAGTAGTACACAACTGACAAAAACGTATTTTTATAAATAATTTTTATGTAAAACTAATTATTTTGGAAATGCTTCTATTAATTTTATGGGTAGCCTTCCCCCTCTATTTAGTTTATATACTTGTAGAATACTACTTATTGATAAAATAAGACAGGCTTCAGCATTAATTTTATTCATAGTTTTTGCTTTACTAAAATACAATACTCACTGAGAAAACTTTTGATACAAATAAGTAAATAGAAATGAAAGATGTTTTGTGATAGCAGTGTCACTCAAATCTTTGAATTCCTTCTGAATTATAAGCCAAAACACATATAGTAAGTTATCATCAAAATTTATTTTTAATAAATTTAAGCTGGCAATTTGATCAGGTCATCTTTCAATTTTGTTGAAAGCAAAGAATTGGAAACCACCTGACCTGCAAAAAATTCTGTAGCTTAGTTATTAACAATCACTGTTTAACTCCAACATCAACACTCTGAATTGTGCTTAGTTTAATGCCCTAGAGGTTTTTACACTCCCCCAAAGCAAATCACTGAAGGAAGATAAATAAATTATTGAAGGTAGGATTTCAGATGGTTGAAAGGTATTCCATTTTAACAAGTGGGAAAGGTGTGATTAGGAAAAGGGAGATGGGAAATAAGGCCAAGGGGCATTTTCAGGCAGACCCATTTTAGCAAAAAGTACTTATGGAAATTGAGGATCCAGCAAAAGATTCCCTGAAAACTACCCTTGTTTCCACATTTCTTGAAAAGTCTTTGTAAAAGGTCACATACCTCAGTTTGAAGACCATTATACTAAGTATCTGGACACATTGAGAGAATGCATTACTTTCAAAAAGACCTCAACAATAACACAGAGAATTCAAGAGGACCAAAATTTATCTCAATTTTCTTAACTACCTGGATTCTCTCCAAATGTAGATGCAGCCTGTCCTGGGACAGCTATAGCAAGGATTAAGGTGAAACAGATGACAAAATGGTCATAACAAACAGCACAGGGAAATGTGGATAATCTTTAAAAGCCTACAAGTTTTGCTATTACGATTTTGCCAGCACTTCTCACCTTCTTTTAGTTAATGGAATTCTTATAATCTCCTCAAGGGTTGAACTGGCTCTGGGTCAGAAAGGACCAGAAGGTCCTCATTCTGTAATTTTGTGCCACAACCAAAGCTTGGGGAGACAAAGATAGGGAAGCTTCTCTCTCTCGCTTTCTTTCTCTTGCTTTAATATGAAAATAATTGCTTCTACTCTTGGAGACCTGGCTTAATTAGACTAATCTGATTTTCTGCTGGTAAAGTTAACATTAAAATGCTATTGCTCTGAGTTCTCTAATTATAGAGCAATCACGCTTTTTCTTAACAGATACTAAAATCAAATGCTATAATGTTGGATGAGGTCATTGTGTATAGCTTGTTATAAGGCTTATTTTGAGGCACCACATGAATTTCCGTGATGATTATGCAGTGACAGAAAGCGACAGAAAGTTTACTGCAGAAAAAAAATGAATGCTACTACAGTTAATCTAAACAGATGAGGTTCCACAAGTGATTCTCTAGGATGTTCACTGACCATAACCACCTGTTCTTCCATCCCAAACTTCTCAAACTCAGCCCCTTCTTGATTTCCCCTCTTTAGCTAACCCCTTCTTCATGTTCTCCCTGCATAGTCTGGATGCAATGTGCAACCTTTTTGATGGATACTCTCACCAGCACTCTCAGCCCCCTTACTCCCTTAAACTTCTGCTTATCCATTCTGCCAAGAAGCAGCTCAGAGTCAAACCACCATCTGTTCTCTCTACTACTGCTTCTAGTTTGCCAAGCACTGCTGGAGAAATTGTATAACTGCTGATTCATGCCGTAACAAATGTGCAGTTCCCAAACTCACCTTGACCTTTAGCACTACTTGGCAATCCTTTCACTCTTGCTTGGTTGGCTTCCTTTGCCACTGCTCAGGTGCTATTCCAACCCTCAAGTCATTACTCTTTCAAAGTTTCTTACCATGCTTCCTTAATGAACAGATGACCTAACTTTTTACTGCAGGAAAAATCAGTGTTCAACTTCCCTTTCTACTTGTGATGGTCGATGATAGCTTCATCCTCCCTACCTCTGTCCCAGAATTAATGTAGTGAATCAGTGATTCCCTTTTGATACTGTTTTTTATTTGTTTTAATCTCATAAAGTCTGTATACATTATCAAAAGACAAACATATTCCAGATTGAAGAAAGGGCCATCGGAATGCTAGGAAATAAAAGGAGCTGATTGGCTACAGCAGAGAGTACATCAGAATAGCAAGTGTTCTTCCACTTCAGTCACTCTCGAGCAAAGGCAGAAAGAAAGGTGAGTTGGGAAACTGCCTGCCTATTGAATGTTTTACAATTGTAACATAATTCTGCCAAACAAATGTCTCAACATGAAATTTAAAGAGGTCATGCTTTAGTGATCAATGCCATTTTTGTTCTCTATTATTTGCTCTCACCTGCCACATCTGCAGTCTAAAAAGCAGACTAATAATAATTAGTCCACTTAGTTTCTTCTTTTAACTGTGTGGAGTTGGCTCACCCTTATTCCATCCAAACTTTTCATGGGAACTCCTAGGGCAATCAATGTGAAATACATTATGCTTTACCTGATACAGCTGTTCTAATTTAATGTCATATTACACTAGCTATCATACAGAACTTACAAGTGACACGTACATGCTTTAGAAAAAGTATTTGTGAGACTGCCTAATGAGGAGTTTTGATGTAGAAGATACTTAGGAGAGATATGTATCATAGCCAACCAGGGGCAGATCCAGGTCTTGTGGGACCCTGAAGTGTATATAATTTGGGTAGTTCCCTCTTTTTAAAAAAACAATACAAAATTATGAATTAAAAATGAGGTAAAGAACCTATGGTAGAGGTCTCTAAAACTTAAGCTTCGTTAGTTGCATATAAATCAGCTTTTTTGTATTTGACCCAAATCCAAAATGCATTAAAATATAAACATCTGACGTGAGCCAGGAACATAGCATAATATTAAATTTCATTCTCATAATAAACCTTTTTATTTACCATTCTCATTTTCACTAAAGTAGTAACTGAGGCTCAGAGAATTTAGTAACTTACAGCTCACAGATCAGAGTGAAGGTGAGATTTAAACCAAGACCTGACACACTAAATCTTGTGTAATTTCCACTGCAATGCTCTGCTTTTAAGGTTTCCCAAAAGACAAAGGGTTTAAGTTAATTTGGAGATTGCCCCCCGAAATTGCTTGGAAATGCTCAGTTAGTATTTGAAATTGACATGACTGAATTCACATTTGAGAACATCACTAAAATTATTGTCCTAAAACTGTTTAAAGGGCATGAAGAAACAAATATATCTCTTTGGGTTATCTTCTGCTCATTAAGTGACATAGATGAAGACAGGAAATCTTAGGATCTCAGAGAAATGTGGTTCTGATAAGGAGAGGAAAGTGGAGGCAGAATCAGAATCTGGAAGTAAGTCTACAATTACAGCCTCTCAGGAAAAAGCCTGGCTGTGGAAGGACATACTGACAGTATGGATATTTCACAAATTATATCCTCTTGTTACATGTCCAATATTAGTCTACCTTCCCATTCAGCTATGTCAAGTTTTATTTATTTATTTATTTATTTATTTATTTATTTATTATTTATTTTAAATATATCTTTATTGATTTCAGAGAAAGGAAAGGAGAGGGAGAGAGAGACAGAAACATCAATGACGAGAGAGTCATTGATCGGCTGCCGCCCGCAATCCGGGCATGTGCCCCGACCGGGAATTGAACCCTGATCGCCTGGATCCTAGGTCATCGCTCAACCGCTGAGCCACGCCCGGCTGGGCTATGTCAAGTTTTAAAAATAGGAAAATAGCCCAGCCAGGCGTGGCTCAGCGATTGAGCGTCGACCTAGGATCCAGGTGTTCGGGGTTCGATTCCCGGTCAGGGCACATGCCCGGGTTGCGAGCTCGATCCCCAGCTGGGGGCGTGCAGGAGGCAGCCGATCAGTGACTCTCTCATCATTGATGTTTCTATCTCTCTCTCTCCCTTCCTTTCCTCTCTCTGAAATAAAGATTTTTTTTTTTTTTAAAGAAAAGGAAAATAATATTTGCCACATATATAATATTACTCAATATTACATCTATACCTTATATTTGCCAGCTTGGCCTCTACTTTTAGATGATGTCTCTTAGAGGTATCCTCTCCTCCTCCTAAGACTCCCCAAAAGGTAGATAGATACTTTGTCTTTATCTCTTCTTCACCCACAGAATCCAGCACTATGCCCTACAGAGAGTAGGAATTCCATGGAGGTTAACTGCCACAAAAGATGGTGTTGATGAGTTCTTTTTGATAAGCCACCATTTTATACCACAATAGGGATTCCATAATATAGATGTTTTGTGATTCCATACAATTCAATCAAAGACTTCAGAATAAAACTTTTGGTGTTGGCTAAAGCTAAGGCAAGAACTTATCAGATGTAGTTAATAGTATTTTTAGTCAACAAACTATCATTGATGTTGGAGTTACTTAAAAGACCTGTTGATTCTGTGGTTTTGGGGCCATTGTGACCTCAAGCTGCAGCTAAAATCAGTCCAATGCAACAGGAGTTTTAAGAACAGCAGCACAAAAATGATGACAACTGAATGGAACAAGAAATCACATATTTTCAAGAAGACCTCTTTATTCTTGAAGTAGAAGTTTCCCTTCAAGATGACAAGTAGTTCAAACTCTCCAGGTTCTCACTTGCCCTCAAAAACAAGGTGAGTCTTTGACAGAATATGCTAAGTGGTAACTATTCAGGAGGGAAAAGAGGGTCTCTATTAACTCAAGCTAAAGGCAGATATTATGGTGTCTCTTCCCACAGAAGTTCTGAAATAGACTGCAACTACTTGAAGGAATTGAATGAGGACTTAAAACTAAGAAAACTGGAACTGCTAGAGATGCTAAAACCTCTTGAAGATAAGAACAACCTCTTATTCCAGAAGTTAATGTCTAACCTGGAGGAAAAACAAAGAAGGTAATGGCTCTCTACTCAGGATTTCCTAAAGGGAGAAAACCTGGAGAACTTTAATCCATAAGATTATCAATGATTATTTACATTTTAAAAAAAGGTTTAGACATTCAGCAATAGTAGGTAAAGAATTTGTAATCACAAAATCAGAATGGCAAAGAATCCTTTATTCTCTTTTAGTAAAATTAAAATGACTCAGCCCTCATCTCACAGGGTTACAGTTATTACTCTTCTTCCCCAGGGTATCTACCCAAGAAACAGATAATAACCTTTAATATCTTTAGTTTATCATGGTCACACCAATAGCTCCTTATATTTATGTTTGTGGAATCCCTTTAGGATAAATGACTCTGCTATTTCCCATGCCAAGCAGTGGAATGACAATCTTTTTAAGCATACTAAACAGTTGAGGTCTGAACGCTTCAATAAGATATTCACTGTTCTTGGGACCCACCAACTCTCTGTTTCCTTTCTAGTCTCGGACAATTTCACCTTAATGGGTCTATCTTCATTCTATACCCTGACTATAAGCATCTCAGGGAGTTCAGACTTTTGGAGAACAAATGCCAGGCAGTTTCTAGGTCAAGAAAACCCAGAAACTCAGACTTCTTTCAGAGCAAGAGAACACAAGTCTTGCTTCTCTGCTTATAATTGGAGAGTTTTTCCATGAATATAAATATTAATAATGCCATTAAAGGATGTCTTTTCTCACAGCCAAAGACTTGCTATTCATTCAGATTTTGTTAGAAACTTCTTTTTCAGGAAAAAAAATATACTTTTTAATTGATTTCAGAGGGAGGGAGAGGGAGAGAGAGACAGAAACATCAATGATGAGAGTCATTGATTGGCTGCCTCCTGCATGCCCTCTACTGGGGATCGAGCCCAAAACCTGGGCAAGTGCCCTCACCTGGAATTGAACCGTGACCTCCTGGTTCATGGGTTGATGCTCAACCACTGAGCCACACTGGCTGGGCTAGAAACCTCTTGATGGTTTGATTCTCTGGGGGCTATCATAAGGATATAAGTGGTTTCCCCAACTAACACAAATGTCTTTAAATGGAAAAACAAGGTAGAGGAGATGGACAGAGACTGGTAGGGAATAATTGTGGTATTTATCCTGAAGACAACAGGTTCTTTGACCTCCTTCACAAGAGCAAAACTGCCCTTTTCTATCCCAAAAGTAATACACCAAAACATTCTTCTGATAGGGTGGAGAGGAGCCTCAGTGGCTGTTGAAGACCTAAGTTTTGAGCAGTATATAGATCACAGAATTCATTATAGAGCACAGAGCTAAGGCAAATGTCAATTAGGAATGGAGTCATCCTGCTAAGAAGGACTTCCATAACTCCTGTGATTTCAGTCCCCATCTCACTCCCATGGAAGAGTACTTTCTGGCTGGTTACAAAATACTAATATTACTCTTTAGGAAGTATTATGTTTTATGATGTCTCTCCCTTCTAGTCTGCAGATTATGAGACAGATCATGGCAGGGAAGGGGAGTGAAGAATCCTCAGCCATGGAGCTCATTAAGGAAGCAGAGGAGATGAAGCAGAATCTGGTAAGAGGTTTATGGGCACTGCAGGAAATGGCCTCCCAAACACAGATCAATGCCATTGCTGTCGTCAGATGTGGAGGGAAACACAGAGTGCTCATCTCCAGTATCTGATGCTTCAACAATTATATCTCTTTGATTTAGAAAGTCCAGGATGATCCAAAGAAAGTCAGAGAAAATGTTGGGGGAAAGTAAGAACTAGTAGCTAGCAAAAATTCTATTTCTTTGACTTTTTAAAAAACTTTTCATCTAGTGCAGGGGTGGGGAACGTCCAGCCTGAAAAATCATTTGGTCTGGCCCTGCCAAGGCTTCACAAAAGAGAAGCAGTTCCAGCCATCACATTAGGGGTGAGTTAATTAAATGTTTGACCAAATATAGCAGACTAATTTGTATGGCCCAAGAATGATGGTATAAATATCCAAATGGCCCTTGGCAGAACAAAGGTTCCCCACCCTGATCTAGTGGTAATGAATACAAGCATATTAAGCCTTCACATTTCAGAAGGAATAGAAAATACCTACTAAAATTAAAAAAAAAAAAAAAAAATAGTTTGCCCTGAAAGAGTCTTACAAGATTTTAAAAAAATCAACAATGTAGCCCAGTCGGTGTGCCTCAGTGGTTGAGCATTGACCCATGAACCAGGATGTCAAGGCTCAATTCCGGGTCTGGGCACATGGCCTGTTGTAGGCTCCATCCCCAGTAGGGGGTGTGCAGGAGGCAGCTGATCAATGACTCTCATGGTTGATCTTTCCATTTTTCTCTCCCTCTCCATCTCTCTGAAATCAATAAAAACATATTTAAAAATATTTTTTAAATCAACAATGTAAAGGATCTTAAAAACTAGAAATTAGTGGTCTAAGCCCCAGAGAAATTGCCATATGGTCAGAATGCCTTAAGTATTATCAGTGTGAGGAACTCATTTCTATTGATATCATACCACAATTACCAAAATTAAAGTTTTCAAAATTCATATTATCATCATCATCATCATCATCAAACTCATCTCTATGTTCCTGGATTTGGGCTAGGCTCATTTATTGCTTTCCTCTGTGGTTAATTATGTCCCTGCACCCTTTTTCCCCTATTACTTAATAATTTCTTCCAATTTCACTTTAATGATGGAACAAACACGTATTTCTGTTTGTTTGGTTTCCCCCCTCCAACAGGAAAGGAAAAACAAGATGCTTCGGAAGGAAATGGAGATGCTATGGAACAAGGTGTGCCTCTAGAGATCCCTGAAAGTACAGCCTTACAGACCTTGATGCAAAAATCTTCCCTTTCCTCCGGTCCTTATCCTCATTCTTCTCAGGTCCCTGCTTCCACTCTTGCCTCATTGCAATTCATTCTTTGCATAGCATCCAAAGTGGTATTTTTAAAACAATCAAATCATATCGCTTTTTATGAAAATCCTTTACAGATGCTTCTTATTGCCTCATAATCTAGCTGTGGTCGACCTCTCTAGTCTCCCCTCATAGAAGTCCTTCTCTTCATCCTTATGGTTTCTCAAACATGCTAAGACTTTTCCTATCACAAGGCTTTTGTTCTTGCTTTATCCCTGGCCTGTAATTATATTTTCTTATGGTTGGCTCATTTTCATCTTTCAGGTCTCTATGTAAATGTCACCTCAGGGAGGCCCTCCTTGTTTACTCTACCTAAAATAGGGCAACCCCTGCCCCCTACTTTTCACTATACAACCCTGTTCATGTCTTCCATAACACTTTTTATAATATAAGCTTATGATTATTATCATTATTTTACTTGTTTTTTGTCTCCCTGCCCCTCTCTGGTATATAAGCTTCTCCAATATTTTGATTGTTTTGTTCATCTCTGAATCCCTAGCACATAGCACAATGTTTGGAACCTACTAGACAATCAATGAATGTAAACTGAATGAATGAATGAATGAATGAATGAATGAGTGAATGAGTACCTAATTCTAATTCCCCTATAATTTTGCAACAATCATTGCATTGTTTAAGATAACAATAGTAGGCCTTTTTGCTGGGAAATGAGGCAGAGGTAGACTTAGTCCTTTGTGGACTAAGTCTTTGGTATCTGAGTGCTTTTTCACAGACTATGAGACTAGAACAGATTGTGTCTTGTAATAAAAACAGGTGTATCACGTGACTTCTGACAGCTTTTTTTCATTTCACCTTTCCACAAATAATCAGGATACCATCAAGCCTTGCATCTTATACTGAGTTCTGCTTCTAGTTCTCAGTGGCAGCTACAAATCAGTTCTACGAATTGTCAGAAGTTTAGTTTCTGAGTTCTTGAGTCCTGTGACAGGATATGACAAAGCTCTATCAAAATCCATCTTCTCTAGAATTCCCAAAAGACTTTTTATAAGGGATGTCTATATGACTTGGCTTGTGATTGACTTTCCTTACCCATATTTTTAGATCGTGAGAAATGGAAAGAGAAGAGCAGAACAAAGGCTTCTGAGTCTGACAAATCTGGTTCAAATTCCAGCTCTGTACTTTCCTAGATGTGTGACCCCAAACAAATGACTTAACCTCTCCAAGTCTCAGTTTTTCCATCTTTAAAATGGAAATAAAAATAGTTCTGTGAGGATTAAATGAGAATATTTGTAGTGCAGTAGAGTAGTATAAGTAAATAAGTAGCTTATAGTAGTGATTGGTATATAATAAGGGTTTAGCTAGTAGTTATTATTATTATAAGACACACTCAAGGGACCAAATGGAAGGGCTTGTTCCATTCCGAACCCCCTCTGGTAGTTCACTTTTCATGTTGGGCCCTGACTAGCAGGAACCAAAAGCCTTAACCCATACTGGCTTTCTACTTCCCTTACTCATTCCCACTAATTTAAAGCTTTGCCAAAATGTCTCTCTATAGACATTCAACATGGAAGAACTCAGTGATCAACAAAAAGCACCACAGATAAAAAACAAAACAAACTTGCAGGATGGAAAGGCAAGTAGACGTCACGGTACTTAGAATTTAAAGGTTGTTGATGCCATATGACTGGAGACAGCTGGTTGACCATCAGGGCTATTTTGGTTGGAAGATAGGTAGGATCTGGGCCTTTAGGATATATTGGATTTACTGTCTGCTAAGACATTGCACTTCTTTTTTTTAATCCTCACCTGAGGATAGGATATTTTTTCCATTTCTTTTCAGAGAGAGAGAGAGAGAAAGAGAGAAACAGCGATGTGAGAGAGAAACATTGGTTTCCTGCAACCGAGGTTTGTGCCCTTGGCCAAAATCAAACCTGGGACCCTTCAGTCTGCAGGCCAATGCTCTAACCACTGAGCAAAACCGGCTAGGGCAAAGACATTCCACTTCTTTCCTGGGACCTCCTATTTCTTTAGCTCTCTTCTTCTATCCCAGGATCCTGAAACTGCATCACCTAGGAAGACCAAGAATGAATTGGAGACGTCATATGCAGAGAAAGTGAAGGAGCTAAGGAAGGTAGTACACATTTTCTGAATGGCACTGGCTTTTAGAGCTGACAGATTAGATATCATTAATGTAGCAATAATATGCCTAAAATATACTGTGCTCCTGAACTGATGCAAAAATTTATAGGAGATTTGATTCCCTTGTGATGTTATATTTGAGTCAGTGTAACACTTCAAGTTTCTGGGAAATCATGTTAGCTAGGGAAAAGTGGGAGAAGCTGTGCCAACAATGAATTTTGCAATAGCTATGTGACATCAAAACACTTGTTAATTTGTTTTTGGACATTTATTTAGAGGTATTATGCTTGTACCTAATCTTCTCTCAGCCAACTCATTCATAGAAAATGATCCTATTCATTTAGATTTTAACTTTTGGAGAGTGAATTGTACAGGTTGAGGCCAATTAAAAGAACTGTGCAGTTGAAACCAATTTATTAGTGAATCTATGACACCATAATTTTGCTATAAAGTCTTTGTGGTATGCTGAGAAAACTGATTTCTGATCTCAATTTACTTTGTCACCCAGAGGCTCTTTCTTCCACCAGGAAAAACAACAGAGGAAAATAGAATGGGTCAGGTATCAGGAACAAGCCAACAACCTTCAGGTATTAATGTGTTCTCAGGCTAGACTTGGGGTACAGTTTCATTCATACAATATAAAGGCTTTTAGTTTCATAATGTTAAACCTGATCCCTTCATCTCAATTACCAATTGTCCTGCTAAAAGAAATGAATGTTTCATAGGGAGACAGCTGGAGAGAATTGTCTCCAGCTTCACCTTGAGTATCTTGGGATAAATAGCATTTTTTCCTATGGTCTTGATTTTGTTCTATATGAAATGGGGGGGATCACAAATTCTTCCTCCCCAACTTCTAAAAACTAAGCATAATAGGATAATTTTAAAACTTCTGAGTAAAAAGGATTCAGGTAACAGTGGTTTTAGAGAAGTCAATAGTATATGAATTGTTTTGAAAAATGTTCTCTTGTAGAATGACTCTAATGGAAAAGTGATTGAGCTCAGAATTGAAGCCTTGAAGAACTACCAGAAGGCCAATGACCTGAAATTATCACTATACTTACAGCAGAATTTTGAGCCAAAGCAAGCATTTTTTTAAATCTTCCTGGGTCCCAAGAAGGTAGGTAAAGTTTCATAGGTACACTGTTTGAGGTTCTGTTTTGCTTTACATTAGAGATCCCAGTACATGTAAAGTGATCAACGCAATGTCTGCCACATAGTAAGTTAAATGTTAGTAATATTATAATAAATTTTATCACTATCATTATTACTATTATTATTACTCTGAAGCTCTCATACCAAGGTAAGGATTTCTCTGGAGGAAATGAAATTTTCTTCTGTAAAAACTAATATATACTTAGCATATGTAGTTGATACATAGTTGGAAATTGATAAAATATTAATTTCCTCCCCACTCCCTACCCTCTCCTAGAAATTAAAGTAGTTTGAGCTCACGAATCTTATTGGGATAGACTTTGCTACTTCAGAACAGAAGGCCAAGGAGATAGACATCTGACAATGGTTGTGAGTTTCACTAATCCAGATATTCCTCTGGGGGTTTCAGCATATCCCTTCCAAAGAATTTATGGCACCATTATGGCAAATCATATAGTTTACCATAAAAAAGAGAATAAAGGAATGTCTTCTGAGGGGCAGGAGAAAAGAGTTTTTAAATTTTCAAGGATCTATGAATCTGAACTTTCTATTTTAAAAAAAGAGACATAGAATGAGAAATCATGGCAATGAAATTACAATGTTTTATCAGTATCAGTGTATCTCTAGTTTCTTCTCAATCTTATTCTATAAAGGGCTTAAACAGTTTACAAAATCACAAACAGCACATAGGATAAAATAGTAGATGAACAAATCTACATGAAAGCAAAATATTTGAAGCCAGGTAAATACACGAAAATGCATAATGGAAGTACTATATAGTTGGTAGAGGCAGGCTTCAAACTTGGTTCTGAATTTCCCAGAAAAAGAAACATGGATTTATGGTGTTCACAAAATAACAATCACCAATTGATAAAGAGAACCACAGCTTTTAGTGGTACTGAGACCAGAGAGAAATTTCTTTCCAGGTCCTTATCATGGAGACAAGACACTCTCTGTGTATTATTGTAGCTAGTGTCTTCAACAATATTTCTAAAATGAATTCAGAATCTAAATTACCTAGGCTGTTTCTTATCTATTCCTTGCACAATCTGATAAGAAATTATTCATTTGAAATTTTTTAAAAATGATGAATCAGCTCAATATGATTTGGTCCAGGTACATAGCATTCTGTTAGTCTGACTTGATCCATAAGTAAAATTTAGAAAATCTAGAATACTGGATGGACTACCTATTCTTCAGCCAGTGTTCCATCCATATTTTTCTTTTAACTGTTGTTTTGATAAGAATTGGACGCAGAAAGCTTGAGGCTTTCTTCTCCAATAAGAACCTGGACTACAACCAGAAATAGTATAAAGTCATTAAGATATGAATGAAAATGATAGAAGAAAGGAGGGTTATAAGGAAGACAGATCTTTGTTTTATTTCATTTAAAATTAGCTGAAGATCATCTTGAGGAATCCACAGCGTAAGGGGCCAAAATTCTTTCAGTTCCAGGTTCAAATCAAGTCAAAATTAGTAATAAATGAAATATTCCATTCAACTTGGTCACCTCAGACTTTGAGTCTTTGATCTTTGAACTAGGACAGCCCACAGAGCAACACCCTCTTTGTCTTCTGTCCTGCACTTCTGAAGAATTAAGTGATAGCGCACCAAACTGTTTTGTTACTGCAAATGAGTGTAGCCACAGGCATGAGTGACCCATTGCTCCTGTCTTTTATTGATTGTGCATTCACTGAGCATGGATTATAGGCCAGTTTCATTTTCTAATAACACATTTACAAAATTATTAGATTTGTCTGAGTCCAAGTGGGTATGAAATCTACATCTTAGAATTTGGTTGTATTGACTTATCTATAACCTAGTTTTTTATTCTTGCAAAGTAAACAAAAGAAACATTAGTTTTCTTTATAGAGGGTTTTTAAAAGTAATTATGTTAAGATTATTACCAACAGTGATATAATAGGGAGGTGGTTTGGTGGTGCTCAGTGTTTCCCAACTTCTGTGTCCCTTAGACTATTGTTTATTCAATATTTTCTACTTAGATTGAGTTTAGTTTCTTAAATGCATTACTTGAAACAAAATTTTTATTACTGTTTTAAATGAAATTCAGGGCAGTTATACATAATAGAAAGTAAACTTAATAATAAGTATACAGAAAACAAAATTTTAATATTCTAACAAGATGTTGAAGCCTCAGGCATGTTTTATCTTTATTAGGAAATGAGATTAGCAAGATGTAGAGAGTTTTAAAGAAACCCAGCAACAAATTGAAACTTTCTCCTTGATGACATCACGTTTAAGAGAATTGAAAAGGGAATTATTTTCCCACTGTGACTTATAGTATTTAATGTGTTTAGCACCTCCTAGATTTATTTCACTTGCCACCTAAAATCATCTCACCATCAAATTTTAGGAAACAGTAATTTAATGTAAAAAGCACTAGGTTTAGAGTCATATATATGAGTTGAAGGCCTTACTCTGAGACTAACCGGTTAAATAACTTGGGCAGGTTATTTAGTTTCACTTAAATTCTTCATTTAAAACAGCCATAAAATATTATAGAGCATGTTGAAAACATACGGTGTTTGTTTTTTTTTAATCACACCTGACGATATGTTTATTGATTTGAGAGAGAGAGGATGGGAACATAGATGTGAGAGAAACGTCAATTGGTTGCTTCCCATACAATGTCCCGATTGACCAAAGATCCAACCTGCAAGCTTTTGGTGTGTGGGACGACACTACAACCAACTGAGCCATCCGGACAGGGTGAAAACACATGGTTTTGTACAACCCGCACAATGACTCTGTGGGGTAGTTATAGAACAAGAAACTAGTTCAGAGAAATCAGGCTTCTGACTCCACATCCAAAGCTCATCCAGAATATGCTATAAAATGGCAGTATTAAATATGTGCTTTTTCATGACTCTTCCATTTCTATAGGCTATGACTTGAATTCAAACTTATCACTTGTTTAATGTATAATCTTCCAAATGAAGAATCATACTCCCTAAGACTAACTTGTTCAGTAATAAAATAGGTTGACAGTTTTGCAATTCTGCATTTATCCCAGTAGGTGGCACCGATCACATCTAGGCTTTTAGTCCACAAATCATGGTAATTCAGGAAATGCTGTGAGAGCGATTGGCCTTCTATTACCCTTAGGACAAAATGTGCTATATTTACATATCAAATGAAAACGGAAAAAAACAAAAACAAAAACAAAAACCCACCTATTGATGTTTTCTACCATGCTCTGTGACACTGAGGTGTATTACTGGCAGCCTTGATTAGACAGTATTAAACTTGGTATTCCGCTTCACAATCCTTATCTATTATTCTAGTCCCTCCATTCCAAAACACTCACTGCCCACTTCCTCCACACTCCCTATCTACCACTGTTTCTTTCTACCATTGATAAATCAGACAATTGGGACACTGAATTAAAAAATCAGTTAGGCAATTGCACAAGGTGTGGTGATTTCTTGAAGGTTAAGTAAGTGTTCCTGGATAATGTTTCCTTTCCTCAAGTTTCAAAAGAATTGAATTTCACAAATCTGTCCTTAGGAAAGGAACATACCTCCCAGCAAATCAGGGTACAGGCCCTTCTGTTCTAGGCATTTCCAGGTAGAGAGAAGGCTTCTCTCCCACTGCTCTTGGCCAAGAATCCCTCCTCCCACATCAACTGTCCTGTGTGCTGGTTGGCTGAGTCTCAGTGGTGTGACCTGTTTGGTTGGCAAAATACAATCCTTTGTTAATATTACTTTGTTACACTTCAAGCAATCACTACTTGCAAATTCCCTTGAGGCCCAGGTTGTAGTAGTATCCTTGTTAGTCTTATCTGTTTAGCACACTGCACCACCTAGTCTTATAGAAGAGAAAAACATTTTATACCTAGGGTAAAGTCTTTCCTTTTAGTCTTTCCAGAGATGGGGCACATTTGAAGGGATTTACTTCCCCACTGGGCTAAAATTACAATTTGACCCAAGGTGTATGGCAGCTTTTCCCTGGCTTCAGTGGAGTTGAAAGAGCAGTTCATGGCCTTTGGCAGTCACCTATCTTAGTGAACAACGGCACGAAGCAACCTTTAATTTCAGCTGAATTTCCCATGATGCCTACTGGTGTTTAAAGAAGAGGTTTATCTTTAGTAATAACAGAAGTGGTGATAAGACATTTGATTCTGACAGCCTTGGTTTTCTCTCCTCCACCCCTCACCAAACTCTAAGCATTTCCTTGAGCTTTTTTGAGAAGCTGAAGGTTGGATGTAAATATTTTGCTACATTTATAAATTCAGATGAAAGTCCAGTGAGGTGGGAAATGAATACTCTTGAGACCTTATTTATTCTATAACTCTCTTTGCTCTGAAAGCAAGTCATTCTTCTCAGCTTTAACCTTTACTTCACTTTAGTATTACTCTTCCTGATTGCTGAAATACACTCCAGCAGGTGCTGCTGAAAGGAAAATAGTTGTGTTAAGTTAAAATGCTGAGAGCAGAGATAGAAACCCACAGCTAGC